AGTAAGTATACAGATAATTTCAATATGTATTTGGCTTAATGATATTAACAAAATTCATGACAATTTTACCTGTTTGAATGTAATTATTTTATAATAAAATATTCTGTACACTATAACATGGAAAAAATTCACTTTTTGTTCCGAAAAATTGAAATTTTTGGTAATTGATCTGAATATTATTTATAGGAGCATTTTTGCCTATTTAAGAACATTAAACCCCCGGAGTTTTGGATCGGGTATTCAATAATATACCTCGTTTGTTCATTATGATTCATTGGAAGACGATATTTTAACTTTTAAATTAATTGTTTCTTTACAATAATTACAATCCATTGCGGAGCCGTTTTTAACATAGTATAGCGTTCATATTCGATATTTAACGGCGATTTCCTAAAATTTATATCTTAAAATGCGATATTAATAATACTTGCACTAGTATCCATTAATTAAAACAAGTTTTTTGGTTCCAATCATCCATTACACACTCCTAAATACTACCAATAATCGTCAAATGGTGACCATGTCAATAACTTACACTACATATCGGTTCTTAAATTGATTATTGTCCAAAATAGTAAGATGTTTATATTAAATCAGGCTCAATTGGTGGTATGAATACGAATTGAACAATTTTGAACACGGATACATCTTAATTTGTTGCTAGAACAAATAAAATGTCCGATCCATAAAACATGCTTATTGTATCGAGTATATCAGGATATGATTGGTAGCATTATTGTATGCTTTGGAAATCGGAGTATTTGGAAAACCTGTTTAAATTAATAAAAATATATAGAATTATCCAAATTTTAATGTTTATGTTGTAAGTCTTAAGAAATCGGAGTTAAATTTCGGGTTTTTAAGAACGTACTGTGTTCAAAATGGCCAAATCCATGCATATAACATTAATTTCGAAATAACAACTCTTTTCAAAAGTTAAAAATTCTATTTCCAATGCATCATTTGGAGGGTTCAATGACCACCAGATCCACAATTCGGGGTCTAAAGTGAAAAAAATCGTAGAAATGAGAAAAAACTGTTCTACTAATTAATTCCGGAGCCAATCGGCCCAAATTTCAAGATTTCGGAACTAAAAGTAGATTTTTTCCAAGTTATATTGTGTAAAAAATATTTTATTAAAAAATAATTATATTAATACAAGTAAAATTTTCATAAATTTTGTTAATATCATTAAACCAAATATATACTGAAATTTTTAACTTTAGCTTAAATGAGAACTCAAAGAACCAAAATATGAAAAAAAGTAGTGAATAATAATTATCATAATTGTTTTTAATAAATAAATGTGTTACTTTCTTGTTTTTTGAAAAAATAATATGTTTTTTTAAATAAAACCAATCGTCAGTATTTCTGTATACTTATTTTTGTGATTAACTGTACATACATACATACATACATACATACATACATACATACATACATACATACATACATACATACATACATACATACATACATACATACATACATACATACATACATACATACATACATAATCCAGAATAATTATTATTTCTGCCAAATAAAAATCAAAAATAATAATTATTTTTGGATTTTTATTATAAAAATCACGGTCCCTTATTTGTACATATTTAAATAATATGTATACGTTTTTTAATAATTTAAATTTACTAAGGAAGTGGTTCTATTATTCTGACAGAAGCTGTATATATTTTGACCCGACTTTTTTCATCTAAAAGAAATCGGAAAAAAATTCTATATAATTCTATTAAAAATGTCTATATGTTGATAGCCAATGCATTAAGCTTTTATTTTATCATTTAATTTAAATATCATCAGAGTTGTCATATTCCCCGGCCTCACTTAATAAAGATTTCCTAAATAGACGACCTACGGTCGGGCGCATGGATTTTCTCCTCTATGGTATGTCCAACACCGGCTTCGCTTAATAAAAATTTCCTAAATAGCGGGCCTACGGCCGGGCGCAATGATTTTCTCCTCTATGTTATGTCCAACACCGGCATCCCTTAATAAATATTTCCTGAATAGCAGGCCTACGGCCGGTCGCAAGGATTTTCTTAATAAAGATTTCCTAAATAGACGGCCTACGGCCGGGCGCAAGGATTAGTATACATACGTTTTTGTTTTTAATAGCAAAATCATAATTTAATTATTAATATCTCAGAAAGTATAATACTTACAAAAACATTTATACCTTAATAAAAAGCTCAATATCTTGGATTTTAAACAATTTAATTTATATACTTACCTATAAAGGCATATTTTCCCGATTTTTTAGATAAACCTCAAAAATATCGGATCAAAAATTATCGACTGATTCTGAATCGATCGGTATACTTCAAGGGTGGTGTAAGTCCAATATTTTTTTGCATTGCAAACATCACCATAATATCACAAACGCATAAATAATACTCTCCCCACTATAGTGATGTAGGGTATAAAAAATCCATCGTACGCGCTCTCCGGGATGCATGAACCTGATCCATGGCCATTGCTAAAAACTTAGGAACTATTAAGCAAAATCTTAAAACTAACTTAGAACTAAGATAAGATCTCATGCACTCTTTTTATGCATTAAATCTTATCAATTTAATATTCCCATCTAAGGGTGGGTTTTAAGTGCGCTGGTCATAAGTATATGCTCCATTTATAATTATATCTCATAATCACCCTTATTATGTATGTCGTAGTCGAAAATCGACAATCGTCGTAGTCGTAGTCGAATTTAAATTTTTTGTTTAGTGTTCTAGTCTGGTAGACCGGAAGTGGTGGGTTCGATTCCCACCTGAGGCACTGGTTAAGGAGCGCACAACAGGCCCGATAGAGGCCTAGGTGTATTTCTTCGGATTTGATGTATATACATCCTCCTTTCAAACTAACTAACTACTTTTTTGAAAATGTTAAGTATTTCTTCTGATGAAAAAAAGAGGAAATAGTAAAAATCGTCTCGATATTCAGTATTTTTATTAGTTTTTTGAGCTTTATATATTAGCACATTCAATTAATAAGAACCATTAATAATTTTTTATGACCAGAGATTATCTAATAGCTTAAATTATTTTCCAACATTATTTTTTTGTATTTCGAACAAAAGTTCAAAATCATTGATTATTTTAAAATCTTTTGAACTTAATTTCGGATATTCGAATATAATATTGTAATGCTACAGGAACTAGTTTTAATAGACTTAAATCACCATCGAACATAAGTTCGACTTTTCGAAGTTTTTTTTATTATTCAAAGATTAATTTAAAACCATTAAACATGTTTCGAACTTAATTTCGAATTTTCGAACACAATAATATATTGCCACCATAGCAAACATAATTATCAAATTATAGTCAATTTGGACTACAGGAAGAGATTTAAGTAGACTCTACACACTGCTTAGCTAGTAGACTCGAAACATTTTCGAACATATGTTCGAATATTCAGATTTTTGTTTTTAGGTTTTTATGATTCAGAGAGTATTTTAAAACCATAAAAAATTTTTCGAAGTTTATTTCGAATTTTCGAACTTAACTTCGAATATTCGAACATTACATTATATGTTCCTTAACTTCGAATATTCGAACATTACATTATATGTTCCTCTGGTGTACTCATAACTTCCAAATTTCAGCAAATTTGAGCTACGGGAACTGATGCTAATAGCTTTGAAAGTTTTTGTCACCAGTAAAATACACATCGACACTTTCTGTCGAATTTTCCATTAAAACACGACATACATAATCCCCCATATTACGAGTGTCGTTGTCGTAGGCGAAGTCGTTGTCGTAGACGTTTTTTATTTAAAATTTTGACAAAGTCAATACAAAATGCATATGAATTTAAGTCGTTTTCGACATTCGTAATACCATTTTAACAAAACGACTCATTTTCGACTACGACAACGCCTCTCGTAATAGGGCCGAATACCATTTTTAGTAATAGATTTTTAACTTAGTTATATTTCTATAGAAAATAGACATACATTTTGAAAAGAGAAAATCGACGTGACTTCGACATACATAATAAGGGTGAATGTCTATGACTTACATAAATAAGAGATTTAATGTGCATGTTTAAGTTAAAATTGATTTAACTACCTTTTTGAAATACTATTTATAACAACGTTAGAATCCTATAAAGCTTCCCTTTTTTTGCAACTTTGTTGGAAGATTCTAACGAGTAACCGCTAACGGTGCTTAAATATTGTTTGCCACCAAATTTATGCTTGTTTCGTTTGACATTATAAATCACTTTTGATTTGTCTACGACATAAGCACTACGTGCAATTACATTTACAAAACCATCTACTTCTACGAGGTAATATTTTGGTTTAAATATAAAGAGATCTTTATCTCTAATAAATTTGAAATATACATTTGTTTTATTTTTATATAAAATCTTGGGAGTCTTGTTGGAGCTGAACATTTGGTCCTAGCGAACCGGATTTCTTAGATCATTTATCGGATTTTTTGGATCTTTATATCAGTACCGGATCTTCTTTGACACCTTCAACTCCATTCCTATAATACAGTCCACCGGAGATATCTTTATCATTTATTTATTTCTACGAAATAAGGTACGTAAATATATTTCAATTGTGAGCAAGTGATAAAATTCGTTTGTTTTGTTTCGCGAACATATACACACATTTCTTTTGTGAATTTTTGTTTTATTTTTTTTTAATTTGTGGATACATCTCACTAATTCGAACTCTAATTTATATTTAAAATTTTTTAATTTATTTTTGGCTCCTACGGACAATATATTAAATTAAAGTAAATTTTATTAAAATTTTATTACAAAAATCAGTGGTTTTTACATTTTCTTTTGTGCGTTATTTGTTTACAGATTTAGATCTGTAAAATAAAACAATAAAATACATAAACGGTTGATCCTTCTTCTTACCTTCTACCAGTTTGACTATTATCACATTTGTTTATATACATTTTGTAGTCAAGTAGTATTATTAATTTATTTATCTTAAACGACTTTTCAAATATTAAAAAATGTCGGTTTCGCCACTAAACTCGTTTATTAGAGCATCGGATGCTCTTATTGCATTCGGGGCTATGTTTAGTAATTTTGACGAAGAAATTCATACGGTTTATACTTTGGAGATTCAGAGTCAAGAGTTAAAAACACTTTGGGGTAAAGTTAAGACGACGTATAATGAATGTCTTAACTCTTTAGAGTCCGAAGAATTTGATGTGGCAGCGGCTAAATATAAAGCTACCTACACAGCGTATATCCAATGCGGAGGATCTATCCATGAATTCAAATCTGCTTTGAAAAGCAATGAATCTCCAACGGTAAATTCGAACTCCGGTAATACAGATCATAATCTAGCACTACCTCCTTGTGATATTGATTCATTCAGAGGTGATTATGTTTCTTGGCCCGCTTTTGGGGATTTATTTACCGCAATTTTTATTAATAGCTCGCGGCTTAGCAATATAGAACGGCTTTGCCATTTAATAAGAAAAACCGAGGGTGAAGCAAAAGAAATCGTTTCTAAATATCCACTTGTTAACGCAAGTTTTGAATTAGCCTGGCGCGATTTAAAGGAAGCATATGAGAATCCTCGTATGTTGGTACATAACCAACTAAAAGTTATTTTTGGCCTTCCTTTCCTTGACAAGGAATCGATAACAGCACTCAAAACACTACAACGCGGAATTAATAGTTGCCTTTCGGCTCTTTCTATTTATAAAGTGCCTACGGATAATTGGGATCCAATTATAATTTTTATGTGTATTCAACGTCTGCCTAGATCTACAGTTATTTTGTGGGAACAGGGTGTTAAAAACAAAACTGTTTTGTCTACATGGAAAGATTTCGATAACTTTTTGACAGAAAGAATTCAGACATTGCAATGTCTTCAAGATCTTAAAGGTACGAACTCGACTGACGTCGACTCTTCAGTGCATTCAAATAGTTCTACTATTACTAAACCTTCATGTATCTTATGCCCTAATCAGTCACACTATTTGCGAAATTGTCGTCGATTTAAAAATCTTTCAGTATCTGACAGAATTTCTACTGTGAATGATTATAACTGCTGTACTAATTGCCTTTCGAGGACACATAAAGTCAGAAGTTGTACAATCAACAATAACTGTTTTATTTGCAATAATCGACATCATTCTATGCTTCATCTGCAGCATACAGATAATTCTATATTTGAAAGACCTACTGTTTCTACTGAACGGAATTCCAGTGAGGTTCTACGACCCACTAACTCTCACACTCGACAATCGCATACGTCCAATAATGTTACTTCTAATCCACAAGTATTTCATACTAGACAGAATCAGTCCGTTTTGTTAGGGACTGCAATGGTAAACATAATTCATAACAGCCATAAGTATCAGGTCCGTGCTTTAATAGATTCGGGTTCAGAATGTTCTTTCATTTCTGAACGTTTACGAAAAATATTAAAACTTCCCACTCATTCTTCGAATTCTAACGTTTCTGGCGTTAATAATGTGGTTTTTGGAGTTTCAAAGTTTTGTCCTTTGGAAATTAGTTCAGATTTAGATTCTTCAATAAAACTATCAACTAACGCATTTGTTTTACCAGAAATAACAGGAAATTTGCCTTCGACTTCTGTAAATGTCGATATTGGAAAATTATTGCAAAATCTTTGTTTGGCTGATTCGAATCTTTTTACCAGTAGGCCTGTAGATATTCTTATCGGAGCAGATTTATATCCGCGCATTATTTTACCGGAAATACAACAAAACGTATTAGGGTCGTTATTGGCACAGAGAACTATATTTGGTTGGATACTGACAGGTCCAGCTAATCCTAGGGATTTTGAAACATATATCGACAATTTAACGTATTCTACGTGGTCTAACGCTTTTTAACCTTTAATTTATTATCACTTTAAAATGCTCACAGAAATATATTTATGTTCCTACTACCTTATTTATGTTTTTACCTTATTATTTATTCTCTTTATATATATTATATTACTTATATTAAATAATAATCCACCTGCAGGACTTCGGTGCTGTGGGAAAAGTCGAGAGACTTTCCAAAAATCCACCTGCGTGACTTCGGTTCAGTGGGGAAAGTCGAGAGACTTCTTAAAAATCCACCTGCGGGACTTCGGTTCTGTGGGGAAAGTCGAGAGACTTCTTAAAAATCCACCTGCGGGACTTAGTTTCTGTGGGGAAAGTCGAGAGACTTCTTAAAAATCCACCTTCGGGACTTAGATTCTGTGGGGAAAGTCGAGAGACTTCTTAAAAATCTACATCGTTTTAAAATCGTTTGCAATTCCTAAGGTATTGCAAGGTAGCCAGCAATGTTTAAGTTAAAATTGATTTAACTACCTTTTTGAAATACTATTTATAACAACGTTAGAATCCTATAAAGCTTCCCTTTTTTTGCAACTTTGTTGGAAGATTCTAACGAGTAACCGCTAACGGTGCTTAAATATTGTTTGCCACCAAATTTATGCTTGTTTCGTTTGACATTATAAATCACTTTTGATTTGTCTACGACATAAGCACTACGTGCAATTACATTTACAAAACCATCTACTTTTACGAGGTAATATTTTGGTTTAAATATAAAGAGATCTTTATCTCTAATAAATTTGAAATATACATTTGTTTTATTTTTATATAAAATCTTGGGAGTCTTGTTGGAGCTGAACAGTGCATCTTAGCACTATCATTCTTATCATTAGTAAAGGTTGTCATATGACTAAACTCATGCACCAAAATAAGATTTTAAACCATGTTCAAATACGTTTGAACATGCCTGGGAAAAATATTTGTAGCAGTAGTATCCAGGAATCCACGACCACAGCTTAGCTCTCTTCTCCCGGCTCGCTTTGTTCAATTCTATATCTCCAACAGGATACTCTTCTTCATCGGCTGGTTTATTATCTTTGTTTGGCGTAAGAGAATGTTTCGTCACCAACATCGGTAGTAACATCTTCGGCTAATTCGGCACTTCCTTCTTTATCGATAGACCCAGTTTCATCACAGGCAATTTTATCATCACCATTATTTCCTTCAGCATCATTGTCATCATCTCTCATGACTTCTTCAACACTTGATTCTTCAACAGTATATTTATATACCAGCAAGTTTCTTCTGGGTAACCACCTTTTTAGCAGTAGCGTCATTACCAGCATTATAATCCTGTCTGTTCTGTAAACCGAATTCGAGAAAATTTCTCGTTTAAAAACGAGCTCTCATAATTTTTCTCGTTTTAAAACCGAGTACACAAATCTAGTCGAAAGTAAATCGAATTTAATGTTACTCTAATAAATTAAATAATTATTTTTTTGCGTTTTTTAATACAATTGTAACTTAATATAGATGCTATGGTCATTTTAAACTCTTTTTCATTTAAATATGTTTATTTTTCTGAATTTTACGTTAAAAAAAATTCGATTTGCAGAACACCAAATGCGGGTTTAAAAGCTTCTCGATTTTGAAAACGAATCGATTTACCGAACAGACATGAATGTATTTCAGAATAAAATATTATATTGTCATAAATATGGTAAGCTTCCCAGCGGTAAAAATATACATTATGTACTCGCTTATCTAAGTGAGATTTCGTGGCAGTCAGTGGTGATGCTTTCACTTATTCTTCTACTTAGATTTAACATAAAAGTGTCCTAGGCTGCCACATCGATGTGCTCTCGCTTAGAATGTAAGCCACAATATCATTAGGACAAATTAAAATTTCACTTACATAATGTGTGGAGTTCTAAGCGAAGTTAATGAGACGCCTATAAACGCTTGCAAATAGTAATGTAATGTATGTAGATTACAATCCTATTTGCATTTGTCTTCCCTTTTTGTTATAGAAAAAATATATATTTTTTTATATTTATTTTAAAATTATGTAAGTTTATTTAAAAATGATTATCAAATAATAAACATGTATTATAGTTAATTCAATAAAAATATAATTAAACAATTTTAACGAAGATAAATGAAATTAATCTTAATTTTCTTTTGAAACTTTCGGCCATCTTCCTTTACAGATCCTGTAAACAATCAGTATTAAAACTAGAATGTATGAAATAAATTTACACCAATTTTTAAATCCATTTCTGCCGTTTAGATCACCACAATTATTTTAAACTTTTACAATATCAGTATTAAAACTAGAATGTATGAAATTTTTACAATAAAATAACTTTTTTAACAAAACACAACTTCACTTACAAGAGATCAACTTTAAACTGATACAAAAAGATTCTTCTTTTCATGTAGTATACAAAAGAAAAATAAAACGGTACTTTAGGTTTTTTTTAAGAAATAAAACAAAAAACAAAATGAAAAAGGCAGCTAACTCTCTGCTTAAATCGTAATCTATGTTATAATTAAAGTGCATGATATGTTGGATTACGCATACATTGCACTCTTAGTACTTAGATTGCTCGCTTAGAACGTCATACTGATGTCATCGAATATTATCTAAGTACTTTGTTTCATTTACCGCTGGGTTGTTGCCAATATTCCAGAACCCCAATGTCATCAGTATGGTAAGCATCTTGTTGACAGTTTTCCGAACTTCAGAGAGATCAGTGACTTCTTCACTATTATTTTTGGATTCAGCATTTGTATGTTAGCAGAAGCATCCAATAAAGTGTTGTCACTATCATCAAATCCTCCATAGTGAGGACTTGCGGGAAAATTTTAGCAGGAACATTGGCCAAACCGCTAACTAAATCGAAATCTCTATCCGCGGTTTCTTTGGAGAGTTGAATTGTTGAAATAAATCTGTTTTTGTAACAAGATTCATTATTCTCGCCCTCTGCTTCTTTACTAATTTCTGCTTTTTTTTGCATTAATAATTGGAGTACTTTCTCCTATTTGACATTTGATCTATGCCACTGAATTAATATGTCCATTTCGAACATACCGCACCGAGAATAGCAGTATTCAAATTGCTTAATAAAGTTGCTCAAAATTGAATACTTTCGTCAAGATCACGTACAAAATTATATAAATCTATAACTCCAGTAATCCCTTCCCTTGATCTCCCAAAATTTGCTCTCATGTGAGCTCTCTCGGTTCTCTTAGAAACTCTTTTGGCATTGAAGCCAGTTTTAGCTCTCTTGGAACTTTTTGCTCTTTTTGAGGCTCTTTTGGGGCTCTTTTTAACTCTGGTTGAGTTTCTTCTAAATCTCTTGGAGCTCTTTGCTCTTTTTGAGCATTTTCATTAAGTGGTGCTTTAATTTGCTGCTCTGCAGTTTGCATCATTATCATTATCAGCATCTCATATCTCATCGTTTCTTCAATGGAGATTATAATGGATTCCATGTACTTACGTAGCCTTGTTTCTAGGTCTTCTTCTATTGTTGTATACATATGGTACACATGTGGACAAAAAAATAAGTACACCAGTAAAAGTTCTGTTTAACAGCTTATAATAAAATATTTATTGAAGATAGATTAAAAACTGAAAATAATTAAATTTTTTATAAGATTTAAAATTAAAATACGAATGAAAAATAAATTAAAATCCTAAACTGCTTTCAGTCTTCTTAAAAATTACGTTACCAATATCTGCAGAAATGGCTCTGGAGGAGATGAAAGGGTCTTTTTTGCCATAGTAATTATGCGATTATCCGTTGTTGGAGATGTTTTCTTTGGACTTCCACGGTGTTCAGCTGATGGTTGTCTCTTAAGCGCATTTTGTGCAAAAGAGAAGGAACGATCCAAGGTTCCTGTAATAAAACGTAGACTTTTTGCCTTATTTCTTAGCGTCAGTTCTCCTCTTTTCGATAGTTTAAAGCTTGCCCATCTATTAAATATTTTCCCATTTATTTTTATTTTTTATTTATTTATTTACATCAATTCATAGAAAGCCTTCTTGGCCAATAATACATGTATCGTTAGATCTATACTCATGTCATTAACTGTATAATTATATATAATAAATGTAATTACAAATTAAAAATAATTCTATTTACATATGCATACATAAGTGGCCCCAGCCGAATAAATTATTACCAAATATAATTAAAGAAAAAAAATATTACTCAAACCCATCAAAAACCGGAAATATATACCCTTATTCTATAACTTAAACGTTCGTTCTGTTAACGTTCTTAACATGAATTTTTCAATTTTTGTATTCTATAAATATTTTCTGTAAAATGTTATGTTTTTAACATAAAAGTGCTCTGTTAGTAACGAAATGAAGTGTCAATTTCAACGATAGGTTTTTTGTAGTGATAGTTTCTTTAAATGGCAGAAGAAAAAAAATTTTTGCAAATTCAAATATTTAGGGGTAAAAGTGGGTAAAACAGGTCTTATAGTACACGGGTCTTATAGTAAGGGTATTAGAGATACAAGAAAATTTGCATTCATCTGCATCTGTTTCTAAAAAAAGCAGATCGATGTACGGTTAGGGTGTAATAATGTGTAAAAATAAGATTTTGGTACTTTTTTGGCCGTTTATAACTTTTTAACTAATAAACGGCTGGACCTATTTTCTTGAAACTTTCACAGAGACTTTCTGTATGTCTAGAAGGAATACTGTTTATTTCCAAATTTCAAGTAGGTAGGGTGCTACTTGCACATACATATAAAATAAATAGTAAAAAGTCACATGTTTGAGAAATTGCAACTGCAAGAGTCATCAAATTTTGTATGGACAATTTTAAGATAAGATTTTATGAATTTTGACACAGAATTTTGAGAACTCAAGCATAACACGAACATGTTTGACATCCATGTGAGTTTTTGAGGTAATAATATTCGCGAAAAGTATAAAATAAACGATATTAAAAGAAAAGAAAAAAAGTTTTTTCCCAAATGCTAAAAAAAATTAATAAAATAATTGTAATAATTTTGACAAACGATTTTTGTTACCGTATTTACTAAAA